TAGTTATACAACATACAAAATTTATATCGCACCAAATTTTATGCAAAACAATAGGATAAATGTGAAAAAACATGAAAATCAAAAAAAAAATCTTTATTATATGTTAGAAAAAAGAAAGTTATGTATGAAGTTGCCATTTGAAGGTTTCTGCTTTATATTTTATATATGAAATTAAGTATGTTGATCAATTTCCCCTATAATAGTATTAGAATTATTACATTTTCTACTCATTTCAATGGGAATACCAACTTCTTTCAAGGTTCTTTTTGCATTTTATAGTTTGGAGTTTTAGGACTTTGCTTTTATCAAACTGGCCTTCTTCTTCCACCATAATGTTCAACTCTTCCAACATAGTTTCAGCAGTGTATCTTCTTGTTCTACCTGCTTCTCCAGCTAAAAAGAAACCTTCCAACAAACTTGTAATTTGCACAGGAATATGATTACCACCACCTTTTTGTCCATATTTTTGGTTGCTTTTCAGTGCCCAACCCTTGGGAAGTTCAAAGACCGATTCAAGTGGTTCATTACCAGCTAAAAATTCAGTAGATAAGTGAAGTTTATATTTTCAATCATATAAAAAATAAAATTATACTTGCATATTGGATCAATTGTTGATGAAACATTTTTTTTACTATCTATCGTCTGATCTAATAATAATTATTAAAAATATCTTATAGGTTTAGCAGTGTAAATGGAACACCATATAGTCCCACCCCTACTTTAAAACAATTGAGCGTCAATATAAAAAAAATGTTACACATATGTTTTGTTGGTTGGTGTTTGCTGATGCTATGTGAGGTTGTCATTTTTCAAGAATAATAAATAGTAACAATAAAATAAATAACAAATTTAATTCAAGGTGGATTTGTATTTTAGTTTGTTAATGATGTTGAAAATAAAAAAAAATTAGAATTTTATCATATATATAAAATAAAAAAAGCTGTGTCACGAAGTTGCCATTTTGGACATTAGTAAATTTATTATGAAATTTGCCCCTATTATTTTATATGAAATCCCCTGGTTGATAAAAGATCTACGAATTAAACCATTCCTCTTTTAATAAATTAAATAATTCTGTCTTGTTTTTTGGTTTTATATTTCTCATTCTAAGTCTTTTTTTTAAATCCTGCCATAAATTTTCAATAGGGTTAAGGTCTGGACTTTGAGCAGGCCAAGGGAGAACTACAACACGATTTTCTTCTTTCCATTTATCTGCTGCTGCCACTTTATGACATGTTGCATTATCTTCTTGAAAAATAAACACACCACACCATCATCTTCTTCTTTTAATTTGCTAATAAAAGGTAATAAATTTTTTGCAAGAAGTTTGTTATAACTGCTTGCATTTGATTTGCCTTCAATTAATACTAATGGACCCATTTTTTTTCTTGTAAAACATCCCCAAACCATGATTCCGTCAGATTTTTTTACTGTTGGACTTAAATTTTCTTTATTATCCTTTTCCCCTGGTTTCCTCCAGACCCAATCATTTGAATCATTTTGAAACAATTCAAACCTGCTTTCATCACTAAATATTATTTTATCCTATTCATTACTCCAATTTTTCCTTGCATGACACCAGTATAATCTCTTTTTCCTATTTACATCAGAGATAAGAGGCTTTTTTACAACCATTCTTCCATACATATTTTTATCATGTAATGTTCGCCTTAAAGTTTTTTCACTTACTTTAATGTTTGATTCCTTAAGTTCATTGCATACTTCAATAATGGTTGTTTTAGGATTTTTTCTAACAATTTTTAAAACTTGTCTAGTGTCATGGTCTGTTAATTTCTTTGGTCTACCAGGTCTTGAGACTGCAGAAGTTTTATTTTTTTTAAAATAATCATTGATAATATTATGAACAGTTGCTTTTGATCTCTTTAATATTTCAGCTATCTGATCATATGTAAAGTTGGCTTTTCTCAATCCATTAATTTCTCCACATTCAAATTCAGTTAATTGAGTAGTTTTAGGCATTTTATAATAATTTTTCAAAAAAAGAAAAAAAAAGATAATGTTTGTTTAACAGATGTAACTTAAAGTTTTACAAATTTTTTTCTGGATTTTCAAAATTCAAATTTTTTATTCCATTGTATAATTTCTCAACAATTAATTACCAAATGTTCTATAAATTCATAACCAACTAAATCCAAACATTGTGATCATTTTTTACTTATACCATAAGAAATGTTAAAACTTGCCATTGTGGTCAATTTTTGAGATTAAGATTTTTCAAAAATTTTCATTTATCTTTTAAGGTTCATAGAACAATCAATTTTTATTTATATGCAATGAAACTTCAGTATGTTATAGAATTTGATATGAAAAAGGATTTCTACTTAATAAATAGGATCAATTAGGTTAATAAAATATTTAGTTTTATTACATCAAAGTCACTCAATTATTTTTGATGATTGACAAAAGTTCATATATTTTTGTCCAGTGAGTGTAGAATAGAAAAAATTCTTGTGACTGCGCACAAAAACTTGTTTAACCTGAGATGTATTTTTTTAACATGTATATTTTGCTTTCTATGTTCTCAGTATGTGTGTGAAAAATGATCAAATGATCAAGTTGCTTTTGAAGGGTTACATAGGAGCTATATTTCAAGCTTTAGTGATCAATGTAAGTATATTGTAAGACATTCTAGGCTCAGAATCATGCATTTTTGTTTTATAATATGTTTATTTAAAATTTTACCAATACAAGCATTTCAGAAATAATCATTTCTTCATTTTAATTTAATGTAACAAATTATCATTAACCATTATCTTTTTCTAGTCTATTATTATTATATAGGATTTTATATTTGAGACAACA